GAGGGTGTGCAATATGCGAGAAATCCGGAACAAATCGCCGATACCATGACGCCACGCCCAGAAAGCGCCGTAACTCGCGTGTGTTTGTTGGCGGTGTCAATTCTTTAATCGCCGCAATCTTGTCAGGATCGGTGTGAATCCCTTCTTCGCTCACCACATGACCCAGGTATTTCAAATTCCTTTTGAAAAACTCATACTTCTCTGGGTTGGTCTTGAGGTTTGCCTGTCGCAATCGTCGAAACACTTCTTTCAGGTGTTCCATGTGTTGGTCTAGCGTCGCACTCGTGATAATAATATCGTCCAGATAAGCAAACGCGTGCGGTTCCAATTCTGGTCCGATGACTTTGTCCAGTGCTCGTTGAAACGTCGCAGGCGCTGAATGTAGCCCGAACGGCATTACGCGCCACTGGAACAGGCCACGTCCTGGCACAGTGAACGCAGTATACTCCTTACTACTCTCTTCCATCGGGATTTGCCAGTACCCATTCTTCAAGTCCAAGCTGCTAATGAATTTAGCGCTTCTCAGTCGATCCAAAATGTGTCGGATTCGTGGGAGTGGGTATGCATCCGGTACCGAGCGTGCATCAAGTTGCCGGTAGTCCACGCAAAGTCCCCACTTTCCGTTGTTCTTCTTACCGAGCACGATTGGCGCGCTGTGTGGGCTGTGCGACCGCTCGATGCGCTGCTTCTCTATCAACTCGTCGATCTCCCTGTTTATTACCTCCTGCATTTTCGGGTTTTTGGGAAAGTAGCGCTGTTTTATGGGTCGATCATCTCGCATTATAATCTTATGGGCGGCGATGTTAGTCGTCCCCGTTATCTTCTCGAATGCGAGCACCACCTTCTTTAAGAAATTTTCGACTTCCGTCGTATCCTCGATGGATGTCTCTACTTCGCGCACTTCTAACATCGTGGTACATGCAGCCTTCGTTCGGATATCGTCCTCTGCCTTCAGCGTTAATGTCTGCCCTCCGCAGCTCACTGTTGTGTTGGCCTTTGCCAGGTATTTAGTCCCAAGGACCATGTCATCGACTAAACCGGGTAGGACGAGTAACTCGCTCCTATGCTCTTGATCGCTCACTTTTACCACCGCCTCTACCGCTTCTGTGACCGATATTGGTCTGCCATCTCCCATCACCACTCTCTTGTTCACTCTTCGCAACCGCTCGATTCCCAGGGTGTTCGCTGCTCTAATGCTTATAAAACTTCTTGTTGCTTCTGCATCAACCGCCGCTATTACTGCTCTACCATCCACTGTTGCTCTGGCGATTACTCGCCCTTCCGCTTGCTTAAGAATTGGTGTTACATTGACTGAGGTTGCATTACTGGAGACCCCACTCTTCGTCGCGAATGGGGTCCGTGGCCGTTTCCCTGTTGTCCGCGGGAACAGTCTGATGTTCGAATGTTCCGCCGACCACACGTCCAATAGAATTGCTGGATATTGTTCCGACATTCGTAGGCGAAATGTCCTTCCTCGCCGCATCGTCTGCACGCCGTTCGTGGTTTTACTCGGCTAGATTCTTCGCTTTTACGTTGTTGTCCCGTAGGTGGCGCATAATCGCCTCCATCCTGCCGTCTCGCTGGCATCGTATACCTCTCTCTTCTCTGCTCATCTCGGATAGTGTAGTTGCGGTCTTCGCTTCGTCTCGGGGTTATTGCGCGAGGCAATGCTCGTTGCGACTCCTTCTCGTAGTCTTCTGCCCGACTTACCAACTCTCCAAGAGTGTTGAACTCGGTTTGTTTAATATACAGCTGGTATTCGCTTCGGCAATTCTTATAGATGCGTCGAAGCTTTTGTGCCTCCGTATAGTCGGAATGACGCATTAGCCCTTGTAGCGCTAGTACATAGTCTTTAAATGCCTCTCTGGGCCGTTGAACAAGCTGCCGTATCTCTTCATCGAGTCTTTCGAAATACCGAGAGTTCAAGAACTTCAGGAAATCTCGCTTACACGTCTCCCAGTCTCTCCAGTGGCCGTGATTGTTTCGTAACCAGACGAGGGCTCTATCCTTAAATAACTCGGGTAATGCTCGTGGAAGTGCGTCTCTTTCTATCTCGTACCCGTCGGCTAATTCTTCGACGCGTTCGATGAAACCCAGCGGGTCCTTGCCGCCATCGTATTTGACGCCCCATTTGCGTACGCGGTCCATAATAGTTGGGGCTGATCGTTGTGAGTCGACGTATACTGGATACATTGGCACGTTCGGCGTTCCTCTTGTGCTGCCGTCGTTGATGGGTTGTTGTGTAGGCGGTAGTAGTAGCACTTCGGGTCTCTTCGGTGTTGGTGCATTCCCCGCGCTTGTAGACCTCGCTTATGCTTAAGCGCTAAATCAGTGACCCGATCGCGATGGTTCTCAGTCTCCCCTTCCTCTTGTACAAATGTAGAGAGGCGTTTACGCAGCTCCTCGACGGTCCCCGAATTGTCAGGGCCGAACTCCGTCATATAGGTCACAAGCTCCTTTTTATTTAAGTAGTACACCCACTTTGTTTTCACCATTTTTATTTTATTTTATTATTATTATTATTTTGTTTATGTTCCTTTGTTTCAAGTTACCCTCTTATTTGTAAGGAATGTTTGATTACTTTCACAGTTCTTAATTTCTGGGCTTTACCCTGTGTCTCTATCACTTTAAAGGTGTCTTTGCACTTTTGCTTGGTAGTTTTCCAAATCACTTCACTTCACTTTTGTTATCTGTGAGTTCTCCTCCTTGGCCCTTACTGCTTCCTTTATTTATAAGGGCCCCACGTTGGGCGCCAATTGTAACGAACCCGGTTTATCCGGTCTATAGCTGGGCTGTGGCTCAGTCGGATGTTGGGTTCCCTTATCCAAACTTTAAATTAATAACCCAAAAAAATTTCAAGAGAGCACTGAATCGAGAGCGTAACAACACCGGAGAGCTGCAAATTCTTGCTAGTGAAATTTTTACTAGCAGAAATTAGGTAGCAGAAGAAGAAGAAGAATAAATGTCAAAAGCTGCCATTTGTTGAATTGGTTTAGCACAAACAAAAGTAAAATGGGTGGAAATCAAAATATTAATGATGTACTAGACTGTGTAAGTGCTTGTGTGTAAAACAAAGAGTTTAAAACTGATTTATAAATAGTAAAATGTTTACAGCAGAATATCAAAAGGGTGCAACAACTATTCACTTGCAAGTTTTTACTAGTTTTGCGTTCAGTAACTTTTTCTGCGGGATTGTCCCGAAATTCAGGCAAAAATGCAACACATCTGTGATCATCCTATTATAGTATTTTAAATCAGATTGAATTAACAAAAAAAAAGTACAATTTATTGTAATTCATTTACATATTTATTAACGCGATAAATCAGTATTTTCGATCAACAAAAAACAAACATAAAATTTGACAAACATATATGTATGTATGTATTTACATATCCTCATTAATTTATAACATAGTTTTTGTTCTACAAGTACAAATGCAAATACGGTCACTCACAGAAATATTTTGAATAGATTTTTTTTGCAATATTCAGAATATTTTTCATGGTTTTTTTTTGTTAATTTAAAAAAATATATATGTATGTGCAATTTTGAAGTTGCGAAAACGTCCCGTTGACATTTTGTATTTTTTTTTGCTACAAAAAAATTCGTTGTAAGGAAGAAAATGCCCAACAGTCAGTAAAAAAAATTCAAAAATCAAGGGAGTTTTTAGCAACTTTAAAATTGCACTTTATTGTATTAAATTGAATGGGCTATAAAGTTGCATAATAGAATTTTTTGTAAAAATTATGATTAAAAAGTTTGATATTTTTATGATAATTTGGTGAACATAAACCAACTTTCTCTAAAGTGTGAAATTTTGATTTACATGATTTTTGTTGTAAAATGAGCTATATATTTTTTTAATTAACAAAAAAATACCATGAAAAATATTTTGAATATTGCAAAAAAATCGATGCAAAATATTTTTGTAAGTGACTGTATTTGGTACAGCAGTAACTGCCTATGTAACTATATAAAATTTTTTGAATCACTGTTTCAGATCAATTTAAGATATTTGAGGGATTCACAACGGTGTCGTAAGTGTCGTATTGTTGTATGTCGTAAACTTTAAAAGTTTAAATAAATGTTTAGAGAACTTGAAACCTCAACCAACTATACACTACTACTACAGATATTCATAATGACTTTCATGGTACTTCGCGAACCCCCTTAATATAATTTTTAGGCGTTTAAAGTTTACGACATACAACAATATGACACTTACGACACCGTTGTGAATACCCCAATTATCAGTATATTTAAGTTATAATAAAAAAGTTAACACATTTAAGTAAACAATAAATATATAAGTGCATCACCTATTCCATTTCGAGCGAAGCAAAATTATTCCTTCTTTTGATGGTAATGCGATCTTAAAGAAATTATAGCATTAAGGGTTGCAACAAATTCTTAATTTGCCCTTGAGAGGGGATATTTGTGATAAAAATTTAATTGGCTAACAAAAAAATTGTTTCCAGCAATCCCGGGATTTAAATCGACTAATCCCGGGATATTCGGGGCTTAAAAAAGACAAAAAAGACCGGCATCCCGAAATCCCGGGATTGACATCCCTAATATGTACATACGTATTTCGATTTCACGTATGTATGTATATAATTACCCAATAAACATTGGGCTTGGTTAACAATTCGAAAATGATTGGAAAACTAATCTTTTTTTCAAGTCTCACCTTCGATAATGAATGTGGAAATAAGTTACTATTCGATTCGAGAACTAGGCCATTCTCCAGCAAAACGGAACCTTCGTTATCCAATGTATTTTACCTTCATTATGAATTCGAAATCCAGCCCATTGTCGAAGAGAAATTTTAATGAGAGAGAGTTATTGTCTTATATTTCCCTTTGAGAATGAGCTGGATTTCGAATTCATAACGAAGGTAAAATACGTTGGATAACGAAGGTTCCGTTTTGCCGGAGAACGGCCTAGTTCTCGAATCCAATACTAACCTATTTCCACATTCATTATCGAAGGTGGGACTAGAAAGAAGAGATTCGTTTTCCAATCATTTACGAATTGTTAACCAAGCCTAATAAATATTGGTTATACATTTTTGTTTTTGAAAAAAGGAAAGTATATTTGATTAACGTTTAAGTATAGTTACTTTTTATTTTAGAGGTTTTTGTAATTTTTTTATAAGAAATGCGTGGTTAAATAAAGTATACTTCATTAAAAAACAAATTAGTTAAATTAAGAGATGATCCTCAGGATGTTATTTAAGTACATAAAAGAAAAATACTTATTCTAACTATTAACTATCTAGTTTTAATATTTTCGCGATAAAGCGTCTTTTTTTATACGGGTTTTGGCTTGCTGGAAAAATGTAATTGAAATCTGCTCGAACTCAGCGTCAACATTCATTTGTTGTTGTTGAGGTTGCATTAGCATGCTTACAATTTCACTGCATTCACGTCTAATTTTTTTTGAAGTTTTCATTTTATATAAATTATATTATTATCTAAATTGCTAGTTACCAATTTTTATTTTCCCGAAAAAAAGCGCGACCCGCTTTAGTTGAAAAAATTACACTTTATAATAAACATAAAATTCCCAAAAGCATTAAAATACGCAACTTTCTCTCTTGTTACTATGGTTCTCATTTTATTTTCGAACCAATTTCGAGTGTATTTCCAATACACTATGAACGTTGGAAAACTAAGGTTGGTTATGAGTTCGTTCTCAGTTCGATATGCATATTGGATATCGAAGGTCATTATCGAACGTTCGCCACAATGTTTATTGGGTAGCAATTCGTTTAATATGTATAAATAAATTCAACAGTTCTACATTTATATCTATAGATATATATATATATATATATATATATGTATTTAACAATTCAAAATATAATTTAGTTCAATAACATATGACAGCCAATTGTGAAGTCCCTGAGTGTAGGGACTTGGGGTCTTCACAAGCTTGATTCCATTTCGCATCACAAAATTGATGTTGCGTTTAATAATGTTACGCGTTATTTTTTTGGCCTAAAAAAATACGACAATATCTCCTTCTGGAGAAACAAAATTCTTGGATCCAGCTTTTCTCTCCTCTCTTCTTCTTTCTTTCTTTCTCTTTTATACCTAATTGTTAAGTTTCTTCTTAGGAGTGATAATTTCTTTTATTTGATGTTAAGTTTTAATATTAATTTTAAGAATAATTTTTTGTATTCAAATTTTAATTTATTGTTATCACCAGGGAACGGATTTTATGGAAATTGCCTTTTTTTCTGCTAAAGAGAATTAGAGATTAAGAATGTCCACGATTTAGCTTTCCCTGATTCCATATATACACATTTGATTTTGCCTTCTTTTGCCTTTTTTAAGATATTTGCTTTTTTTTACATTAAAGGCTTTTCTTCGCGAAAATCGAATGAAAATGCTGCCAGAAAACTTCAAAATGCATCTTGTGGTTCAATGTTACTACAACTATACAGACTAAAGTTTTATGAGTTAGAAACTCGAAAGGATAAAATAGTCAAAGATTCAAAGTACAAATTTTTCATATAATGAAATTAGTACATAGTTTTTCTCTTTTTACTTGTAATATAAACATTTCTAAAATAAATGTATTTTTTTGATTGTTCCTCGTATTTTCTGGTTTTTTTAGTGCCTTATTTTGCTTTTTTTGCAATACCTAGTGCCTTTTCCTGCCTTTTTCGCTATTTTATTTTGCCTTTTTTTGCCTTTTTTGCATTACCTAGTGCCTTTTTTATAGGTTTTTAGGTCCTAAAAATCCGTTCCCTGGTTATCACTTATTTGTTTTATGTTAGGTTTAAGATTCTAATTTTGTAAAATAATGCGCGCTGATGTAGTATAAAAGACTGAATAGTCTTGAAAATACAACCTCATTTCTTTGTTAAATAAATAAATAAATAATTGGTTTAAAAAGAGTCCGAAAGACTCTTCTAACCTTTTCTGTCACAGTTTACCATTTTCAACTCTTTTTTTTATTTGTAGTATTTTTAATTAAATAACGTTCATTACACTTTATTCTAAAAGTCTGCTACGAAAACTCGCCACAACTATGCACTTTACTAACTTTTTTTACTTAAAGGAAAAACGGAGTCCCAAAGACCCTTCTGGGCTGATGATTAAAAACTATTTGTTTTAATGAAAACTTTGTAGAAAAAGAACATTAATTTACATTTTGGTAGAAGTTATAGGTGCTATTTCGGAAAACAAAAATTATTGAAATACTTGTGCGTTCAACTACATATTTACTTGTTATATGTGCATATAAAACATCAAGGCGAATTTATGTATATACTACTATGCAAATTACCTTAAAAATAGGAATTTATTTTTAGTATTCAATATGCAGTAATACTTTTTGTAAACAAAAAATTTGCTAATTTCTAATAAAAAAAAAGCAAATCAGGAAAAAAACTACAACCTCTTTGTGTTATCTACAACATCATGGCGCACGCCACAAATCGGAGGAGAAGTTCTGCCAAACACTAACATATGTATTGCGTAAGCACCAATCAATTTTTATTATTATATGTTTCATAGCAAACTGAAAGTTCTATATTGAAAGTATAACAACAGTAACTACTAATAATAATATTACTATTGCTTATTGTATTATATTTTCTATTATAGCTTATTTGTACAAATTCATTACACTTATGTATTCAATCTTTCTCTGAGGTTTTAGAAAGGATAATAGCAAATCGGCTTTGTTGTTACTAGACAGCCGACAAGTTTCAAGAGAGGAAAATCTACAGCAGATACTCTACTACTGTTAGACTATCTATCTGCAGCCAAGCTCTCATCAAAAATCCACCTAGAAATTATTTCCCTTGACTTTGAAAAGGCGTATGACGAAATAGGTATACACACAGTAATTGACGAACTCG